TATATTTATTAAAAAATTTTATTTTAAATTTTAAATTTAAGGTGAAAAAAATTTTAATTATAAATTCTAATAATTAAATAATGAGTATTAATTAATGTGTTAAATCAAATAATATATCAATTATTTTTCCTTTTAAAATACTAATAAACGAATCGAAAGACTATTAATTGGCATTTGTAGACAAAATAACAAAATCCAAAACTGCTATTGTCTCATCTGTACTAGTTTCCCTTCCCCACCATTACATTAATTCCGCCTTGAGGCTGCGATCACTTGAATAGCCAGTCCCATATTTACCAACCAAATTCACCACTTTGCCCCCCAGTCTCTCAGTTCCTCCTTTAAATTGCAATAAACATAAAATATAGCCAAAAAAGTATAACCTTTTAAATAAATATATGAATAAGAAGTTATTGTACGTGATTAGTATTTATCTATTTTATTTTTTAAAAATTAAAAAAAATTATCTTAAAGTTGCATAATTTCAATAAAATATCACAAGAAAATATAAAAAGCAATCAAATGTATGCTTTATACATATGGTATTTTAGTTTTTTTCAATTGAAGTTATTAAAACGACATAATTTAAGGCTTGTTTGGTATAACAGTTAAAATTTAGTGGATAGCAAATAGTAGATATTGGATAGTAAATGGTGATAATGGGTAGCAGGTGGCAGATAGTGAAAAGCAGGCCGCAAGTAACAGATAGTGAAAAATGGGTGGCGGATAACAAAAAACAGGTAGTAGATAGCGAAGAGCGGGTAACGGATAACGGAGAACGGGTAACAAATAATGGAGAACGGATAACAGATAGCAGATAGTAAATTACAGATTCGATTAATATAACTGTTTCACCATACAATAGTTAATGGTTATTAGTTAAAATTAAATGACTAATAACGATACGTTTAAAAAAATTAAGTTTATTTTTTTTCTTTTTATATTTTATTATTATTAAAATTATTAATTTTATAATAATAAATAAATAAATAGATTATAATAGTGTAATTATACATTAATTTTTATTTTTAATAAAGAAAAAATTATATTAGTTTTAAATAAAG